GCTCTCTCCCTTCAGGCTAGCCGGCCACAGTAGGAGAGTGGAATTCAGGAAAGTAAAAAAAAATAAATAAATAATACTGCTGGCATAGTTGGGTGGGACTGCAAAAGCGTAGAGAAAATGGGGCAGTGGGTGTATCTAGGAGGGGATCAAAGTTTGAGTGCAGCTTTTTCAAAGCACTTTCACAAAAGAGCACCTAAACCAACAGTATTGCTCAGACTGGGTGCTTTCGTATGGGAGGCTTATATGCTACGTTGGGCAGCCCTGACTGTACGCCAACAGAGAGCCCAAGAAAAACTGCGACAGGCTGGGTTCACCAGCTACTTCCTCAATAAGATGAGGGGGTGTGTCTGCGCGTTTGTGAAGCACACAATGAAATGACGCATGGTTGAATAACACCTGTTTTGGGACAAACCCACTGAGCCAGCTGACACAGCAACAGTAGCAGTGATATTATGACCCCATTTACATGTGGTATTAACATCAGATCAAATTATAAGTGGTCAGTTGAGACACATTAGTGGTCACGCTTTTCACTTGGTAGTAATGTGTATCGAATGAGTTGAATCAGCATGAGGGGAGGGTTTCTGATTTTGTGTTACTGTCTATGTCAGTGTTTTATTGTATGTTGAATAATAATAATAATAAATTATTATTATTTTTATAATAATTATCATTATACAAATAGTCATTATCCACACATTTCCAGGGTGTTTCCCTGCCTTTTACAGCCCAAGATGTTGGGATAGGCTTCAGGATCCCTGAACCCTACATGGACCATAAGTGGTTTGGAGAATGGATGGATTATTATTATTAAAATCATTAGGTTTAAATTAAAATTAAATAACTTTACTTCTAATACTTTTACAACAACAAAAACAACATTTTTAGAAAAAACCTTTTATATTAATAATATTCTATTATTACTTTCTACTTACTAAAGTCTTATAATAATAAAAAGAATAAATTGCTAATATTTAGAATTTTTTTAATTATTATTTATTACTGGTTTATTCTACTTTAATAGTTCAGTTCACTGTCTAACATCAACTTGTAGTGGCACTTATGTATGTACTTTTCCAAATTTTCCACATCACACATTTTGGACCCCATTTACACCTGTACTTAGGATCATCTACTTGAGATTTGGTTATTAGATACACACCTTGATACCAGAGGCCTGTTTTGAGCACGTTTTTAAATGGACATTCGTAGCAGGAAATGTACTAACATTATGTAATGTACTACCATCTTTTATATGTATAATACTGGCCCTCAGTTTATAGACTGGGGTTCATTACGAGTTCATTAAACCTTACTACATAACTGCACTCAGAATAATCTCTCTCTGTAGTCTTCCTGCTCGAGGAACCTCTTGATCTCTCCCCTTGTGCCAATCGATGTCAGTTTGTGATGAAACTATTGGAGTACAACTGGATAAAGTCATTCTGCAGACAACAGGAAACAATAACCTTTCAAGTTTCCCTTGCTAGCCGAGTAACGCCACTGATATGGCATGTTCAAAGTGAAATTGATGCAGAAAGCTTCCGCCCGTCCAGATCAGGAAGCGGTGAGCTGCCCGGAGACCATTACCGCTCTCTAACACAGGAAGGCGGCCAGAAAGTGGAGGTCTAAAGAGACATCTGCTAGTGCAATCAAATAAAGAAACCTTTTAACAAAATGTGCCTAGCATAAATGTTCACAGAGCGCTCACCCTTTCTTGTTGGTGAAGATGCCCAGTACTAAAAAAAAAAAAATGTAACTGTCATTTACCACATTTAAAATGTGCTAGAAATCCAAAGACTATAAGGTTGGTTTCAGAAACAAGCTTCTTGACAAACATCATTTAGTTGCTATTCAGGCCGTCGTTTCATATTATGAGATTTACATCTTTTAAGTATTTTATGACCGAATAGTAAAATAAATCCTTTTGAGGCCAAGAGATAATGCTAAATTTTTAGCACATACAAATGTAATGTTTCTTCTCCCAGCCCAGCGGCGCATTTACATGTTTTTTGGATAAGATAGGCTTTAATTGTGCAAGCGTGCATCACTGCCAGAGGTTATTGGTTAGAGTGTGGAGTGTACTGTACGACACTAAATTTCACACTCAGTGGTTGTTTTACATAACAGCAAACCTGCTGCACAAGCACTGTGCATAAAAACAGCTGTATAAATTTGCACATTACAAAACAGAGGAAGCAGATGATATAGCTCGTGAATGTGCATTACTTGCTGTCTGTTTTAAAAATCAAGCGTCACATTCAATTTTTGTTTGACCGCTATTTGAGACTGGGGTCTCTGCTTACAGCCCTGATGATTCTTTACCTTGGACTTGATGTGTTCTTGTTGGCTCAAGATGCGGTTCCGTAAAGGCTTTGGAGAAGATCCCGTGGGAGCTTCTGGAGATCTATATGCACAAAGTGGAAAGTGAACAAGCTGAATATTCAAAGATTAAAACAAGGTGTTGAAATGCAAATCAAAATGACACACAAACAGTACAACATACAACAGTTTAACTGGGCAAATAAACAAATATACACAAATTAACACGTCAAATGTAAATGAATTACAATAATTTTTTTTTATATTTACTAACTATATTTTTGCATTTACATTTTATTATTATTAGTAGTAGTCGTATTAAAAATATTTAATAAAATATAATGCAAAATTTGTAGCGTTTTAAATTCATTAAAAAAAACATTTTGGATCTATTTTTGTCCTATGACAATAGTTTGAAATTTTATATAAATAAATATATATATTACAGCAATGTGGAGTAACTCACTTGTAAAGGGTAAGAAGGCAAGTGAATTGAGAAAATAGACAGGAAAATATACAAATGTTTCTTACAGACTGTATTAATTGCATTACATTAATTATTATTATTAGTAGTAAAATGAATGAAATAAATTTTAAGCATCGAATTAAGCATTATTATTATAAATGTACTTTAATTAAAAAAAAAAACTTTTTAGCATCTATTTTTGCCCTATGACCATAGTTAACTGTTTTATATAAAAACGCTATTACAGCAATTTGGAGTAACTCACTTGTAAAGGGAAAGAAGACACGCTCCAGAGCTGCCATTAAGAACGGCATGATCTTCAGAGAGCAGTTCCGCCTTGTTCCTGCAGGGCGGTGCTAATGCTTCTTCATCCAAAAGAGTCATTAGAACCTTCACGGTCTCTCGGCCCCCATAGGCAGTGGAGTGGTTAATAGCATATGCTTTGGGCTAAAACGGAAACATTTTGTGTCTTACTAATGAGGTTGGAAAAAATATTTGGAGAAGATAGGGTACATCCACTATGTTTTACCCTTGCTGGACTGATTCCTGTGGCAACCGCTGAATGCGTCTGCACGGTGTGTATTTGACTGATTCTTTCCTTGAGACTTTTGACTGTATCCTCTGCTGCAAGGTACACTGGGTCTCCATTACTGCGGCCT